ATCTCTCCAGACTTTCTGTTTCTTCTTGAGACAGTTCTAGTGGTATGTTGTCTTTGCAGGACTTTGTCCATTTTGTCTGTTACCTAATTTGTTGGCATATGGTTGTTCATAATATTCTTTTATAACCATTTTTCTTTCTGTAAGAACAGTAGTAATTTTCCCACTTTCCTGTCCCATTTTAGTGATTTTAATTTGTCACTTAAAAAAATTATTCCATCTGGCTAAAGGTTGGTCAGTTTTTCTACTTGGAGATTTGGCTAAAAACCAGTTGGAAGTCAATCATTAAGCAGCTATTTGCCAGATGCTTCCAGGTGGTGATTGATCAGTTCATAAGCCACACCCTGTGAAGACATGCAGTTATTTAGAAAACCAGCATAATTGTCAGCTTCTCTTGCCACAGTAATATCACTATTAGAAATACAAGTCACCTCAATTTTTGAATCTGTGCTTTATCTCCCCTCCCACCTACCACCCCACTTGACCCAGCACTTCTGAGCTGTTGGAAGTTAAGATTCAACTTCCCTTATTTCTCTTAAACAGGAAACTTTTAAAAGTTGGTTCTGTCTTATCTGAACCTTTAAACATGTCTTTGTGTTTCTCAGAATAGGAAGTTCTGTTATTGGCCTTTTTTCTAAGTATTTTAAGAGTGAGCCCTTTATATATAATGCAGATGAAATCAAGGTTTCATTCATTAGAAAATATTTATTGAGTGCCTACTATGTGCCAGGAACTGTGCTAGATTTTGGTTATACCACAGTGAATAAGACAGTTTTTGTCTTCAAAGAGCACAAACAACACCTAAATTGGATGGCTTTATTATAGTGTGATAAAAGCTGGTAGTAGAAAGCCTGTATAAGAGACACTCAACAGAGGCTTAGGTGTCAGGCCAGGAGAAACTCCCAGAGGAGATGTTTTCGTTGAGAACTGAATAATACTTAAAAAAAAAAAAAGCCAGAAAAGTTGTGGGTGGGACAGAAAAGTGTATTCCAGGTAGGAAAAATAGCATGATCCAAGATCCAGGGGCATATGTGGTATATTGCTAAAACTGCAAATTTGAGACAGAGGAAAAGTAAAGCTTAAGAGTGGATGATAAGAGATGGATGTAAGGATCAGATCATGAATGGCTTTCTAAACTATTTTTAAAATTTTGGACTTTCCGAACTTTTAATACAATGTAGCCTGTATAGAAGTGGTCAGGAAGACCAGTCAGTGGTTCAGGAAAGAGATGATGGGGTATAAACAAAGCAATGGGGGAGAAGTTTGGGGGGATAGAAGAGAAATAAATGAACTTATAAAATGTTGAAGTAAAATCCATAGCTGTTGGTGATGGACTTGTGGAAGAAGTCAGGGGCAAAGTCCAGGTTTTTGATTTGGCAGCAGGTTGAAAAGGTGGGAAAGAGGCCCAGGAGGGATGACGGTGTTTGGCATGGTCTAGAGAGGAGGACAAAATCATGAATGTGGCATTTGGACACGCTGAGTCTGAAGTGTCATGTGAGATGTGCAGAGTGTATCAAATCACTGATTGGATTTACAGATCTGGAGCTCAGAGAAGATTTACATCAAAGATATACATTTGTGGATCATCTACATGTAAGTGGTTGTTAAAATCATTGGGCGTGCATGAAATAGTCAAGAGAGAAAGCAAGCAGTAGAAAAAGAAGAAGCTCTTGCTGTGCCTATGTAGCTCCAACATTTAAAAGCTAGATAGAAGAGAATAATTCCACAAAACACTGAGAAGTGGCCAGAGAAATAAGAGGACAACCAGGATGCACTGTCTCGAGAACAAGGAAATGCTCAGTAAAGTCAACAGTTGCTGAAAGTTCAGGTGAAATGAAAATTAGAATATGTCCTTTGAGTGAATGAGGGCCTGGAATTTAATTTTTGTCATTAGCTAGAGCTGTTTAGAGAAGGCGGTGAAATCCAGACTAGAGCGGGTCAAGGAGGAAGTAGAAGGTGAGAATATAAAGCCAATGAAGAGAGACAACTCTTAGAGCAGTTTGCTGGGCCGGTGAGAGGAGGGCTAGTAGTTGAAGAAGGATATGGGGTGTGGGAGAGCATTTTCAAGATGGGAGAGAACTGAGTAAATTAAAAAGCCAAAGAGAAGGATTCAACTGAAGAGAAGTTAAGTTCAGAAGACAGGGAGTGAATAAAAAAAATGTACAGTTTTTGAAAAGGTGAGAGGGCATAGAATCCAAAGCTCTGGATGGAGGGACTGGCCTTAAACAGGAAACGGAAGAACCATCTGTATGGTAACACAATATAAGAAGGACCAACCTTCTTATATTGCTATGTATATATATGTGATACAATGTAGACTGGATTGAAGTGGTCAGGAAGACCAGTCAGTGGTTCAAAGAGATTATCGGATATAAACAAAGCAATGGGGGAGAAGTTTGGGGGGATAGAAGAGAAATAAATGAACTTACAAAATGTTGATGAAGTAAAATCCATAGCTGTTGGTGATGGACTGGTGGAAGAAGGCAGGGGCAAAGTCCAGGTTTTTGATTTGGCAGCAGGTTGAAAAGTTGGGGAAGAGGTTTCGTTGTTTGCCTTAAGGAGCTGAGAAGTCCATATCTGATGGCTTTCCTTTTCTTTGGGAAGGAGAGAAGGTACAACATGGTCAGAAGATGGTTGGGGAAAGTTCTCGTGGAGAGGAGAGGGTTGTAGATGGGGCTTGAAGTGATCACAAATTGACATAGGTGATCATAAAGTCCCTGTGAACTAAGCTGCCCTTGTGAGATTTTTTTCCATCCGACATCGGCCCACCTGGGCTTGGAAGGAGAGGAGAAACCAGAGTGTCGGCGCCGTCCCAGGCGCGGTTGCTGAAGACAGTTTAGCATTTCTCAAGCTGGTGTTTCTGAAACTTTCTCTGATAGATGCGAATAGGTATGTCGAGTTAAAAAAGACCTTGGTCAAAGAAGTTTGAGAGAACCACTGTACACTCTATTCCATTCTTAACATTCATATGAACATATTTGAAGTTCTGAGGGTGTTACATTTGAAAACCTGGTTAAATTTAGGATAGTTTTTTTTTTTGAAGCTTATTTGCATCCAGAATGCTGTGTGCTGTGTGTGTGTGTGCGTGTGTGCGTGTTGCATCTATTAAGATCTCATGGTTTGGTTTATTATGGATCATAAAATCAAGAGTTCACTCCATTCGTTTTACCCCTGTATCAAAGGACAGGAGCCTTCATTCCTATTCATTCAACGTGTTTACACAACCTGTGGTTAGTCATTTAAATCCACATTGATTCTGGGTGGAGCAATAGATAACTTTTTAAACGAACTGCATTCTTTATGAACAGTTGGGCTATGTACCTATTCTACTTGTTAATCAATTCTTATCATAAATTTAAAAAACAAACAATAAAACGAACTTCCTTATTCTTCCAGTACCATGGGAAGCCAGCTTGAGAGCTGGCAAGGGGAGCAGGGCCAGTGACCATCCCAGCTGGCTAGGATCAGGGCTGGTGCGGAGAGTGGCAAGCAGAGTCACTCATATTATTATTTTACTAGTAACCACCATTTTCATAGGTCTTCACAGTTTACAAACTTCTCTCATATGTGTAAGTTTATATAATCACATTTAATTATTGAGCAGGTACAACTCTCATGGGTGAGAGCAAGGAATATAGTTTGGGAGGATAACAAATAAGAAAGCATGTTGAGGAAAAGAGAGTAGCTGGGGAGGGGGCTAAAAAATATGTCAGGGACTGTGGCCTGGGTAATGCATTCTAAGTGGAGGTGGTTTTTCCACTAAGGGATAAAAAATGGTTCTTAGGAGCAAATTAAGTAGATATCACAGTGGTTTGTGGCCCTCCAAAGGGCCACAGTACAAACCCAGATAGACTGTGTATTTGTGGTATTAACAACTCATGAGGAGCGATTAGGGGAAAAAATGCTTATAAAGGCTTGTTGAGGATGAAGCATGATAATGAGAGAAAGGTTGAGGAGCCTGGTTTAAATCCTGTGGTGCCTGTGGAACTTTTTGACATTCAGAATGATCTTCTCTTCCCAGACTTGGTAGACAACTCATTTGTCTAGCACAGTGTCTGCTTCTGGCTTCACTTGTCCTGCCCATCTTCCCCAAGGCCCCGAGGGACCATGTTTTCCCCCTTTAACCTCTTCTCTCATGGCCACAGCTGACTGAATTAGGGTGGACATAAGCCAAGACCAGTTAAGACATAGATTGGCCTGTGAGTGCCCGGTCCCCAGCAGCCTGGCTGCACTCACTTCCTCTCACCAGACTCCTGGGATGCTGCTCTGTATTTTCATAATGGCTGCTCCACTACCTCTGAACAAATGATGAGTGGGTACCAAAAGAGCCCTGGCTAGGACATCTGCCCAGTCAGGATGCTTGGTCTGGGGGTATACTGTTTGACTGAATGAGGTTGGGAGAGAAATCTACTTGAATCATCAGCTCTTCATCCTTCATATACTAATCATCTGATTAATGTAGAGTAGGTTTCTCAACAGCTTCACTGTTGACATTTTGGACCAGAGGATTCTTTGTTGGAGGGTGGCTCTCCTGTGCATTGTAAGAGGTTAAGCACCATCCCAGGCCTCTCCCCTTTAGATGCCAGGAACTCTCCACCTTCCAGTTGTGACAACCACAAATATCTCTAGACATTGCCAAATGTCCCTTGGTGTGTGTGAGCATTCGGGTTGGGGGGTGGTGGTGGTACAGAATTGCCTCTGGTTGAGAACTACTGATGCAGAGAAACTAAAGTATCAGAAAGTTACCAGTCTCCTAACCATATCAGTATGGTCAAAAATGCCATTATGCACGTGCTGTTAAGCATGACTTTAATGAAGATGTTACTAGAAATGATGGAAGACAGTCCTTGAGAGCCAAGGGCAGCATGGTTACCAGGATATCCGCAGCTGACATGGAGTGCTCGCTCACCAGCCAGATGCTCGCTCAGCACACTCCCTGTGTTCATTGGTCCTCTCAGCAGTTCTAGGGAGCTGGTGTTGCTATTCTTCTCCCCATCCTACAGTTGAGGGAACTGAGAGCCGGGTATGTTAGGAGACTTGCCTGGAGTCGCCCATGTGGCAGTAGTAGAGTCACGCAGTCAGCCCAGCCCCAGAGCCTAGGTGCCCTGAGCACACCACCCGTCTGCCACGTCCTCACTGTACATCTGCACTTCCTCATCCTCTGCAACACTCAGCGTGGTGCCAAGCACATGACGGGTTCTCACTAGACCCTTACTGATTCTGTCCCTGTTGACACTGGCATTTCCTGAGGTGTTTTGCCCCAGATCCCTGCCCCACAAGGGTCTCTGCTCAGATATCACCTCAGAAGGTGTCCCTTATCACCCTCCTTCGAACAGCGCTGTCCTTTCCTCCCAGCTCCTTACCCCGCTTCCTTCTTCCTCATAGTGCCGCCACCATCTGACATGTATTTATTGTCTGTCCCCCACTCTCCCAACAGACTAAAACACAAGCTGCATGAAAAGGGGGGTTTTGCCTTCTGTGTCTGCTACTGTATCAACAGGACCTAGAACATTCCTTGGCTTGTAGTAGATGCCCATTAAATGTATGGAATGACTGAAGAACCCCTTTAACTATCTGCTGTATTCAAATCTCACTCTGATTGTTTGTCACTACTTTACCCTTAATACTGCATTTAAAAAACAACATTCCGCTGAATGACTAGGAACATTTATGCAGAAGAGGGGCCCAGCCCTTGACAGAAATATTAGGGTACTGGGGATCCCCAACCAATGCCTATCAGAGGTTTATTGTTAACTGGCCTATGTCACTCACATATATTCATTTTTCATTTTTTCTCTGCCAGCCTGTGAAAGTAATTCAGTAGAAGTGGTGATAATATACATAGCCAATCATATCAATTTATAATTAACTTGGGTTTAAATCACATAGTAAGTTATAAACTTTTTTTTGAGAAACATATTACAGACAATAACAGTGACAGATTTTTGCACAAAAATGATAAGTTGATTCAACCTCCCTATCTCTTTCCATAACTACTGTTCATAAGTTGAAAGAATAGTTTAATTGTTAAACTATTAATTAATAGTTTAAATTAATATTTTCTAAAAGCTTAGCAACTGCTCTCATTATATAGAAAAGGAAGCCACATAGTAACAGTTGAACTATAGTGTTTGTTTCAAAGCTATCCCTTTCTCACCCTCCAAAAAAATTACTTAAAATTTTTGACTCCTTTCTCTCTCCAAAGTGAAGAGCTTAGGACAGTTGCCCAGTATGGCTTTTTATAAAAACATCAATTGCTGCCCTACAACTAGATAGTTTGGGCCATTATGTTTACTCTAGACATGAAAGAGCTTGTTCCCCAAACCTGAACACTAGCCCTGAGGAATTTCATCCCCAAATCATCCCTCATCTATATTTAAAAACAACCTTAAAGTCCATGCAGCTGAACAGGCTGAGGAGGGAAAGAGATAACTTTCCATTGCTGGGGTTTAGGAATGGAACAGATGCCTCCCTGTTAGAAAGGCTGTTTGGCAGAACCCTGCCCTCCATTCTCATCGTGGGTCTCAGCTCCCCAAACTGCCCATATCCTATGATTGAGTGCAGTGCAACTCATTACTGAATTCCAGCACCAGCTACCTGAGCACGTAAATGGAAGACCGTTCCATTGCTCAGTAAGTCTTGCCAAACACTGGATCAGACTTTTAAAGAGGTTTTACAGCATGATTTTATACTACATTGCCTTATATAAAAATGCCATTATAGTATTATTATGTATTCTCCAAACTTTCTTTGTGTGTGGGGGGGTCAGGTTAAGGATAAGATGCTGTGCACTAATAAAAATTAATTTAGACCAGAGCTGTCCAATAGAACCTTTACAAGGATGAACTCTGTGCTGTCCACTTCAGTAGTCACTAGCCACCTCTGAAACATGAGTAGTGAGTACAACTGAGGAACTGAATTTTGATTGAGTTTGATTCTAAACAACTACCAGTGGCTCCTACATAGGAAAGTTCAGATAGACTACTTCAAGAGCATGGCTGCTAGATGTCTGGACCTCACCTGACGTCTCAGATTTGGAATATAGGAAAGTAAAGCTGCTTTCAAGTCGGTCAGGAATAAGATCCTGAGATCTTTATGTGGCTTGTCTCTTTCCTTACATGTTGGGGGCAATTCTTCTGGAGAGGGAAAAGCAAGCAGCTCCATACTCCAGCATCCCACAGAGGTGGGTGCTGAGGAAGTTGGCTAAGACTAAGACATTTAGGTCGAGGCTGAAATTTCTGAGGGGAAATCAGAGATGGTTGAGTCACTCTCTGCCCCCTCGCTGGCCTTCTTCACTGTATTTGCACCATCACTTACTGCCCTGGCCTTGTTTGCACTGTTGGGGAAATGTTACTCTTTCATAGTTTTGGAAGGCTTGTGGAGGCAAGAAGCATTTGCCTGGGAGATCCTAGGCTCTTGAGGAATGTCTAGAGTGGCGTGGGTTTGGATGTTAAAATAAATTCACTCCTTTAAAGCCACATATAGATTAACTTTGCCTGAGTCAGCTGGCTAGCTACTCAAGCATCTCTTGTGCTGGCCCAGCCCAGGAGCTAGTTGGCAGTGGAGTGGAACAATTCACCTCTGACAGTGAGAGAGATTTGAAGTGAGGATGTGAAAAGTGGGAGTGTCTCAGGTTTGGACAAAGTGAAATATTTAAAAAGTCAGGACTCAGAGGTCCATTGAGTTCCCTAAAGAGGCTTTCAACCTGTTCCCTCCAACCTGAGGGCAGCACCAGAGTCAGGAGTAAGGGGCACAGACAGTGGCATGCGCTCAAGAGTGACTTGGAGCGAGAAGTGAACAGTGCTGCTGCACAGGGCAGCTATACCATTTTCCAGCTGGCCGGGGTGGGGGGTCACCAGGATGGCTCGGTAAACACACAGAATCCCAGCCCCAACCCAGGGAGATTCCGGTTCTAGCGGATCTGAGGTAGGGCATAGCAAAATGAATTTTTAAGAGTCGATTCTGATGTACATCTAGATCTGGGTAATGCTGCAAAGTTTGGGAGAAACCATTTTTCTTGTGGGGAAAGGACCTGGGAAGAGCTAAACAGCACCAATCATTCTAGAACTGAGGGTGTCTGGCTAAGGAGTCAGATGAAAAGAACTCTCGGCCCAGACCCTGGAGTGATGATGCATATGGTATTTTTACAACTTAACACCTCACACAGGAAAGGGCTCAGTCACTGGTTGTCTGTCCTCTACAAATTCTTACGAGGGTGCTGTATTACTCAGTATTGATCAGTTTAGACTTATCTCATCATCTAACACCAAACATTGTCTCACCAATTTTTCTATGTGTGGGTGACAGGTAACAGCAAAAAATACTTAAAAAATCTATAAAGCTGATTATACTTTTAGGACCCCACAAGAATGAGCATTTACTACTAAATAATTAGAAAGCATAAAAGAGGACACTCCAAACAGAATCTTGTTTTGGAATTTTAGTATTAATGGATGGCTGCTTCACAGGTCAAAATCTTCTTTGTGAGAAGAAAACACTGAGAGGAAACGACACCCAAATCGGGCCCAGCCACCCCAGGAACTTAAGAGCTTGCTCTTTGGACAGAGATTTTGTCTCATATTTGTGATAACTGAGAGGCCAAGCTCACAGATAAGCATCCAGCTCTGCTCCCTGTTCCCTCTATGACTCTACTGGCAGCTCCAAGGGCTCAGAACGCACATCCCTGGGGAATGTGCTGGTGGGGTCTTCAGTGGAAGACCCCTTTCCCTGCTTCTTCCCATCTCTCTCCTTTCCCACTGAACAAGATATAGACAGAGAAGTTTATGGATTTACTCCACCGATACTGCATGGTGCCAGATAGGACCCCAGGCCACAAAGTCTCCAAGGTATACACACATAGGAAGGCCAAGACGAGAGGAAAGGCCGTGCTCCTCTTTCAGTAGCAGAATGTGTCACTCTCACAAAGTTTCTGAGTCTCTTTTCTGGACATGAGTAGAGACACAAAGATGTTTTGGCTTGAGCACGTGTGGGCACAACTTATGCTTCTGTGTATGCCAACAGAGACATCATTAAGGCATTATGCCTTCGGTTAACTTGGCCGAGGCCAGTGCCAAGTGGAGACAAAGCCTCCTCAACTCTCAATTTGTGTGGAGGGGGTCCAGGTAGACAGGAGGTCCAGGGACAGGTTTCTCTGCTCTTGCTCAGATCTGACAAGATGGTAGCCCAGCAAAGTCATGGTATCTCTGCAGACTTTCTGAAGTCGGGAGACCTTTTCATAAGGCAAGGACCAGCGCCAGGCCTGGGAGACGTTGAGGGCATTCCTGGCATTTGTGTGGAAGGCGTGCTGACCCATGCCTTGGCCTTGAGTGATGTTGAGCACCCAGGCCTGGAGCTGAGGCAAGAATTTCAACCCTGTGTATTCATACATTTGGGCTGTCTGGGCCAGGGGGTCCCGGACAAGGTCCTCATAGCGCATGAGAAGGTAGCGCTGCTTCAGGGCTTTGGGCAAGGACTTCACAGCCTTGTAGATCTCCAGCTGGCTTTGGCAGATGACCTGCATCACATAGTAGGGTTGGTCCTCCTCTTTGAGTTTCTGCCAACGCTGCCCCATCACAATGCGGCTATCAATCATAAGCTCCCCTGTGGTGCGCTCCCGGGAACGGAGCACAGCCCGGGGGTCCCGGACCAGGTGTATGATGTGCAGGTTGAGGGAAGGGTCTCTCAGCAGTGGGTAGAGCACCTGCAGGTTGAAGAAGCGCACTTCCTTGAGCACCACGTGACTGTAGGAGCGGCAGGCCTTCTCAATCACTTCAAAGGGCTGTTGACTACACAGAATCTTGCAGTGAGCCTGAGGTATGATCTTATCCCGAGGGAACATGTTGCAGGCAGGTGGGGAACACAGCGCCCGGCTGCCATCCCACTGGAAGAGGCTGGACTGACGTCGGGGACCAGGATTCATATAGGCATCAAAGACACTCATGTCACAGAGAAAAACAGCACGGATCAGATCCCGCACCGCCATATGCAGCCGCCAGGGGGTGCTTCTTGTGAAGGTCATCCAGACATGCCAGGCGGGTTCCATCAGGTAGAAGACATCTGGGTGCTGCCCAAAAAGCTGGCCCACAAAAGAGGAGCCAGAGCGCCATGAAGACAGGACCAACACATGCATAGGCTTGGGCTCCTCCTTTGCAGACAGGGAGTTGAAGTTGTGGCTGATCAAATGGAGGAACAGAGCGAAGATGGCCATCTGGGAAAACAGGAACAGCAGTGGCCTCGTTTTTTTGGGCAGCATCATTGTGCTGAAGTGGAAGACCTTTAAGGAGTAAGCAGGGTGTCTGTGTTAAGCTGCTTTTTGGTGTCTGCCTTCTATCCCCTTTCTAGCCAAAGCCACCTTCTCCTTGACCCCCACCAATGACCACAAAACCATCTTGCAACCAATTGCACAAATCCTCCAAATCAATTCCTTTCCCCTGTGTTAGTGTGTCAGTAAGTTTTGTTTATTTTAGGCTCTTTACTTCCTCCCTCCTGGTCTTGTCCATTGAGCCACCAGGAATGCCTGACTTAGCCGCATTTCATCAGTGTAGGGAAACAGCCCACCCCGGCACTGTGGTGACATGCTTGTCTTCACACAAGCCATCTAAGCAAAGCTTCACTTTCACTGCAGTCTGACCCAAGATTTGGTTGAATGCCCTGTGATTCCTTCTGAAACTGAGAGAGATAAACTGATTTGTGAGGAACTGCCTGAGGCCATTGTTCGCCTACCCCATCTGTCTTATGGGAAATGGCCACAGGCCATATCTCATTACCCTCCTTCATTTCAATTAAGTACAGGACTTCAGTCCCCTGCAGGATAAGGCTACAGGCTATAAAACTGCTTTGCTTTAGTTTGATGTTGTCTCCTCAGTGGTAGAGCCAAGTGCCTGCTGTACCTGTGGTCTGGTCCCCTGTGATTTGGTCTCCTCCTGTGGGATATGAGGAGCTGACCTACTGCTGCCCTCATGTCTGTATGGGTAACAAACTGTCTGAATCTGTTTAGGCTGAATTGTTGTCTCTTGAACAGCCAACTATGAAAGTACGGCAAGCCAATGTGAGAGCTACAGTAGTGATTATTTATTGGTTAGCCACTGTGCTGCTACTTGGGGGAATGCTTAACCACTGGACGCAACCTGCTCAGGGCTGCTCAATGCAGTTGGGCAGGTTGGGCAGTGCACAGCATACTGTTTCATCAAGAATTTAAAATATTTATTATAAAAATGTGTTCTAGTAGGTGACAATAAACTAAACTTTGTCAAACAGAGTAAGTATATTTGGATGATTGTCAGTTGTTAGATGTTAAATACCTAGAGAAACTTGTAGTTCACATTAAGACTCATACAGATTGTTTGGTGGTGGCCCTGAACTCGTTCGCTTCACAGCGAGGGTTCGCTTTGCGTGGGAAGGCCATGGTTCCCAGTGTCATGCTGGAATGTTATTCTGAGGTAATGTTATTTCTTAAATAAGGTTACTTTGGGTGACGCTGGATCATTTTGGGTGATGTCCTGGCATAAATAACTATTAAGAGATATAATAGCTATTTCACAGAGTATAAAATATTAATAGTAGCAAGGTGGCTAATTTGTGTATCATTATATACCCAAGAAATTATTCCTTCCAGCTTTAATAAAGAAGAGAAAATATATTCCTAGATAGTAGCTAGAGCTGGACTTATTAGGGTTTGCAATTTTCCTGGTGACAGGTCTTATCACTAATTTTTAGTAAGTAATATTCACATGGTTCAAATTATTTTAAAAAGTATCATTATCATGGACATTAAATCTACAGACTCAGAATTTAAAAGAAGGCTTCCTCAGTACTGTTTACAATAGTCAAGATACAGAAGCAACCTAAGTGTCCGTCAGTAGATGAATGGATAAAGAAGATGTGGTACATACACACAATGGAATACTTATTCAGCCATAAGAAGAAAACAAATCCTACCATTTGTAACAGATTGGATGGAGCTGGAGGGTATTATGCTCAGTGAAATAAGTCAGGCAGAGAAAGACAAATACCAAGTGATTTCCCTTATTTGTGGAGTATAACAACGAAGCAAAACTGAAGGAACAAAACAGCAGCAGACTCACAGACTTCTAGAAGGGACTGGTGGTTACCAAAGGAGGGGATAGGGGAGGGAGAGAGACAGGGATTGTGGGGTATCATGATTGGTGCACATGGTATGTGTGGGGTCACAGGGGAAGACAGTGTAGCTCAGAGAAGACAAATAGAGACTCTGTGGCATCTTACTGCACTGATGGACAGTGTCTGCAATGTGGTATAGGGGGAGACTCGATAATAGGGTGAATGTAACAACCACATTGTTTTTCTTGTGAAACCTTCATAAGAGTGTATATCAGTGATACCTTGATTAATAAAAAAATAAAAATAAAAACAAATAAAAGAAGGCTTCCTAAGATTCTGCATTCAGGAAGAAAACAAGGAGAATGCCTGTCACACTCCAGGTCTTCAATGTGTCGATGACAGGCAAGAGGAAGTCCTGTGCAAGCAGCTGTGTCTGGAGCCTATAGTCTTAAATTAGAAAACTGCTGGAGCTATTTGTAAACAGGAATAGCGACATACTTTTCTGGGAGGGGAAAGAACACCTAAGAATTTCACCAGCTACTGAGTCAGTAACCTCTTTTTTACTTACTAACAGCTAGCATTTATCTGTTAGCCAATGTTCTATCATCACTATACAGTGAAAAGCCTGCTTCCGGTACCTGTGCGCCATCTGCTCATTTCCCAGCCTGCCTCCAGATAGCACTGTGTCCTTGCAGTTCCTTTATGCATACACAAGAAAATTCTAATGTATATGTATTCTTAATTTTTTGTCCTTCTTTATATTACACAAAAATAGCACGTTGTACACACTGTGCTGTGCCTTGCTGTTTTAACTTCACAGTATGTCTTAGAGAGCTTTCCCATGCAGTACATGAAGTCGTTCCTCATTCCCTTTTACCACTACATAGAATCCTGCTCTATGGATGTGCACAATTTATTTAACCAGTTTCCTCCGTGATAGGCTTTTGGGTTGTTTGCAATCTTTTGCCATTTCAAGGACTTAAATAATTAAGTTTTTTTTTTTATGTCATACATCATCACAGATTTGTAAGCTAAATCCCCTGAATAGAATTGCTGAGTCAGAGAGCATGGATGGGGTTGCGTATCCTTGGTTGCCCAGCCAGCCTTCATACTGGTGGTAAACCGTTCTCTATGTCTAGAGCTGCAGTGATTCTAGGGAGTAGATTTTAGGGAAGGAATTGGGCAGCCACAGATGTGACTTAAGAGTTTATAGTTGGCTCCCTGAAGAGGTAGAACATGCTTTGCCAGCTCCTGGGCTTCCCTTGAAAGTCCCCTGAACGTTCTGGGAAACGTGTAATAACCCAAGCCAAACCTTGTATGGCGGTGACATTAAAACCCTTCTCTTCCATTCATCTCAACAGTGCATTTCCTCCAAACATGCCCCAAAAGGAATCTGGTGATCATCTCTCCTTGGTGGCCAAAAAGTGCTTTGATATATGTCAGGGAAATGTCAGGGAATTCCTGTCTTGGCTCTGAAGGTTAGAACAGGACCAGCTGAAATATGATCCTAATTCTTTTAAACTTGAACCCAAAAGGAAATGATTAGAAACTAGGCCATTATTGATAATGGCCTAAGGATGGCCCTCCACCTCCCCCACCCACCTAAAGACTGAGGAAATGACTTCAGTAAAAGAGCTTCTCCCAAAGGCAACAGAAGTATGAGGAAAAGTTTGGAACAAAGATAGAAAACAATGGAGCAAAAGGAGGTACAGAAGACAAGAACTTGACCTGTGCACAATTATAAGAAAGCTGTGATAGAATTTTATATTCAGGGCCTATAATCAGGAAAAAGCTAACATTTCCTAGGGATTAGGAACATAGACCTTTTAAAGTCACACCCTTCCTCGCCCTATCTCGGCTTTGGGCCAACGCAGTGTCCTTCCACGGCTCAGAGCTCTCCTTGCCTGCCGGTAGCTCCTGGCCTCATGCCCATCCTCCTGCAGGCTGGAGCCAGGCCTCCTAACTGCATCCCCAGCAGTCCTCAGCCTTTAGCTGTCCATGGTTCTCAGGAATTCCCATGGAAACCCTCTGACTTCTTTATCTGCCTGTTTTTTCCATGAGCACTTTCCCTGGCCAGAAAGAATGTATGCTTTTGTAAAGTGAGTCCTAGCTCTTGTCCCTGGGATCTGCGCACTTCCTGGATGTAGGCAGTCTGTGGTGGGTCTGATCAGAACAGCCAGAGTGTATCTTGGGCAAAGCTTACTTCTGCAGAGATTTTAGTCAGGGGTAAAGGCAGAGGCTCTTGAGACTCTGGGGAAAGCAAAGAGATGCGGCTCCATGGAGAAGAGGAAAGCCCAGGTGGTTAACGGCAATCTCCTGCAACCTAATCACCACCTCTCCCTGGTGACTGTACACTAACTTCCTCTGTGGTCCTTGGGGTTGGCAAGCATTTGTGATAAGTACATCTCAGAGTTCCGAGTCTACCTTCTGATTATTTTTTTTTCTGGCTATTCAGTTGCAGGTTTGAATCCTACCTTCCCTATTGCCAGAATCCCTGCCTGTTCATCTCTAACCTTAGTAAGTAGCCTCTCTGTCTCTCAGTTCTTACCACAATCCACTGCTGTCCAAAAACTCTTTTTAGAGCACAAGTCTATCACTCCTCTCCAAGAAATCCTTCACTAACTTTCCAACATGATACAGATCAAATTGAGATACCCCAAGTCTTCATAATCTAATATTTGATCTCATTTCACTTTCCTCCTTTTTGGCACCTTAGGCTTCAGACTTTACTTTCAGTTCTTCCCAACTTAGCCTGTATTTAGAAGTCCTGAGACCTTTTGCAAGAGGCTTCTGTTTCCTTAATATTCTGCCCACATGTTAGCTTTCTCCTTGAAAGGTTATTTCCCTTCCTTCCAGGATTTAGTTTTTCCCCAAACTTTCAATTAGCACACCCATTGTTCACTCTAGGAAATAGCTATAGATTTGACTGTCTCTCCCACTGGGCTGCTGTAACCTAAGGGTTAAAGGCTATGTCTTACCATACTTATAGGTGCATAAAACTTACAAGTGAGTAAGGCTTTTTAAATAGTTGAATAAATAAATGAATAGTTGAATATTGGAAGAGGCAGTCATTGCTAGAAAGAAGATTAAATGAGATCCCTCAAGAAACTGAACTTCATCTTTTTCTGCAGTGCACGTAGGTGTCTCATTATATCAGCTACTAAGTTAGGTGATGCTGTTGATTATTGAGCACAGAACCAGTACTGTCTCAACTGCAGGGAGGAAGAGATTAATAAAGTCAGAGGCATAGATTTGATGAGATTGGCACAGTTAACCTCATCCTCCCCCAAAAATTTCTACACTGAGCATGTACTAACTAAAACTAGAAAAAAAAGAACATGTGAAAAAAAATTTACTAATAAGAAACAAAAGCCCCATTTCAGGGCTACAGACTACCCAGACTACCTCCCTTGCTCTAACCAGCTCAGCTAGAAAAAGAAGGAAAAAACCCTCAGCACATCCTGTCTTCACCACGCAAAAAATAATTTAAAAAACATGTTGCCCAATGATGGGCAAGTGTTACCCACTTAGCACACAAAGCACAATCCATCACCGAAGTTGTGAGAACTTTAGGTTCTTGAAAGGGGTGGTAGTGAGGAAGCACCTCGGTCACACCCAGGGACTGTGAGGCGCGGGGACAGGTGACCTCAGCCAGCAGCCTCATTATAGGAGGCTGAATTATAGACGAGCCCCAAATTGGTACCATGGAGCCTTTTAGAAACAGAATGAGGAATTCTGAGAAAAAAACAGACATCAATTTAAGAGCCCTTGATCCCAGCCACTGGCATATTCCTAACTTAGATTCCCCAGTGATAAGTCCCACATACAAAAATTAGAGATGGCGGAAAATATTGGTACAGAGAGAGGGAGAATGGAGCTGTGCTGGGGAGACCAGCATCCACACATACAGCCAAAGACGTGGGAATCCTGTGGAGAGAAGCAGCTGGGCAAAAGGTGTCTGTGTAATAACAAACTAACTAGACCCAAAGTGCCAGGAGGACTGGACCTGGGTCCTCACCACTGCTATCTCTGGTGACATCAGCAGTGCCTGGCACACAGTAGATATTCAAGAAACATCCATCGAATGAATGACCAAATGAACAAACATTTGTAGAGCAGTTTTTACCCCGGCCATTGCCACTGCTGTCCCCAGCTTAGCCACCCGAGGTTATGTGATACACAGCTCCATGGCCCTGGGGTGATGGCCCTCCTTTGGAGGTATATACAGAGAAGCTCTCTTCTTACCTTGTTAGTGACTGAGGCTTCCTCTGCTTTAAAGAGGCTCTCTGCTGGCCAAATTGTACAGCTTTTCTCCTCTGACTCACCAACTCCCCTCTTAGCTTCTTCCTCCTCCTTGCACTTTGCATAACCGCCCCTACTCAGAACAAATTCCTCTCCCTTCTGCCAGGAAAATAACCCACCTTCCCAGACGGGGTTGAGAAAGCACTCACTCCTAGGGAGCCTTGATACTATCAGCTTTTACCCTGAGAGACTCAAGGGGTGGGGAGCCTCTGCTTGAGGTCAGCGGGAGGAGCAACGCAGGAGGCATTCTCTCCCACAACTGGGAGAAGATCTTGGAATGTGGACAAAAAGGCAGCGGAGAAGGTTAACTCCCTTAGGGCACAGTGGTAAAAGAACAGAGACCCCTAGGAGACGAGGTTGATGGGGAAATCACTGACCATTACAACCAAAATGCTCCTAAGATCTGAAGCCCTGTTTTTATGTCTTATCTTTGATGCAAAAAACAGAAGAAAACATGAAAACTATTTCTGGATTGCAACTGCTTGCTCACTCCACTGGATTTAGGGAGATAATACTTCTTTTGGCCCCTGTGTCATATTCAAAAATTTCACCTATCTTTCAGGAAATAATTACTAGATGTATGGGAGGACATAATGTTTTAGTGTTTAGTTGGAGTACAGGGAAAAAAAATCACACAACTGCTTGAGCTAGTTTACATGATTGTTGTGAGTATAAAACAATAGGTGAGAAAACAGTTTACAAATGTGCACAAATAAATGTAAATTGTAGTGGAGTATAAAAGCCACTGACTTTGGAGTCAAACATCTGGGCAAATCTTTCCACCTTTCTGAGCCCTAGGATGTCAGTGTAAAATCTGTATCCACCTTATAGAATTCTTGCAAATGTTAGGATTCTATTAATGGAGATAACGCCCCTAACATAATATTATGACATAATGAGTTTAAAAGTGGTAGTTATTATTGAATCATAATAATGCCTCTTTTTTCTTACTCAAGCTGCTGGCTCATTTTCCAGGCTTTTGTAAGAAAGAGCGAGCTGGCAGAGTTGTATGAGTTCTGGGATAATCTAGGAAGTATCTTTGCTGGTTCCCACCCGCTGAGCCCCCAAGGCCTTGTCATTGGCACAGATGCCCAGACCTGTGGTGGTGCCTTGTATTGATCCCAGCGACAGGGCCCTCCCTCCCAGGGCCCTCCCTCCCCTCCCTCTCCTCCCTCCCCTCCCCTCCCTCCCCTCCCTGCCTATTTCTGTTTAGCAGGGGAAAGTCACTTTTCCTTGAAGTGACTCCACGCAGAGTTGTAAATTGTAGAGCCAGAAATGGGCTGGTGTGGTTCCGCTTTTATTCTGATTATAAAAGTACTGCTTGTTAGTAATAAAAAATGTGAAAAATACAAAATGTATACGGAAAGGCAATATAAATCCCTGTACATTTTGCTGCTCAGAGAAAACCACTGTTGATCTTTTTTCCCTTGCATGCAGAAAGTTGTATACTTGAGATCATATTGGAAAATGCAGGGTTTCTCTTTGTCCTTATTTATTTTAAATATTTTAAGTTATGAAATTAAAATTAGGGCATCAATGTACAATTTAACAAATAATATAAAGGAACTACCATTTAAAAAAAAACGTAGAACTTGGCCAAAGCTGCTTCAGTCCCTCCCCTCCCACAAGCTCCCCCCACCCTCATTACTCAGAGTTTACACTTTTATGGGAAGCAGTTCCTTCTTTGCTTTCCCTTATCTTTTATCACCTTAAGCAATACTATTAAATTCTCCTCAAGTTGACCTTTATGTAAATAGAATCATACCACAAGTAATCTTTTGCAGTTTGCTTTTTTTCATTTCATATTATCCTACAGTTCATCACCCATATAGTTATAGGGTTTTTAAAATATATAAATGTGTAATATTTCAAGTATGAATATGCCACAATTTGTTCATGATCTTGTTAATGGACATTTGAGGGTTTCTTGTTCGGAGTTATGACTTAACATTCTTAACATGTGTTTTGGCAGGCATTTGCACAAGTGCCTCTAGGAGATGCTGAGACAAGGGGGTGTCTGATTCAACAAGTATTTATGGGAGACGTTACTTTAAAAGGACTTACATATGCAGTATTCCAGTGCTCTCTTGTCAGACATTTAGATGGTTTCCAGTTTTTCTCTGTTACATATCACACTGGGATGCACACTGACTTCAGTGATTAATGGAGCACCTTGCACAGTCCTCAGTACAAGTAGCTGCCCCACCTCCCTCCTTACATGCATTACAATTAGGAAGGAAGGAAGGAGCTTGGCATGGTGTCACAGGGAAGTCAGATACAGTGAGATGTGAAACCAAAGTAAGTTTTAATGCACTCTGCATAGAGTAACAGAGCGGGCCGCTTAAGGTTAGACAGGCCCAGCTGCTTATTCTGAGGCTTCTTTTACGACATTTGTCAGGGCAGAGAAGTCCTTGATTGACAGCTGTTAGCCCTCTAGGCCTGTTCTGATTGGTGGCATGAGGACAGGGGCTGGGCTGTGCCTTGTGCTCCTGGTGTTTCTTATCTGGGGAGACTCTGGACTTTCCCTGAGTCACTCTTGGACCCTGTGGCTTCATGTGATTAACTCTCTGAGTCGTTTCTGGCTTCCTGGCTTTATCTGATTAACTCCCTGGGTCATTTTTGGTGGGCCCCCCTCTCACTTTCATCCTGCTCCTCTCTGTCTTTCTGCCTAACAATACCACAGATCTTAGCCTCTTTAGTTTGTGATTCCTAAATCAGATCAGTTAGGAAGTACTTTTGGAAAGGCTGGGCTGAAAGTAACCATTAAGAAATAGGTATTCACTTATTTCATCCCCCAACCCCTCCCTCCTAGTAACCACCAGACTCTCTTCTCTGTGTCTATGAGTCTATTTCTGTTTTGTTTGTTTTGTTTTTTAGATTCCACATATAAGTAAAATCATATGGTATTTCTCTTTTGGCACAAAATCTCAATTATATAAATTAGTCATGAAGATGAAAGTTCAGCATGGACAATATAGTCAATAATATAATATCTGTCTATGTTGACAGATAGTAACTACACTTATTGGGGTGGACACAGTGTAGATAACTGTCAGATCACTATGTTGTACACTTGAAACCAATTTAATGTTGTGTATCAACTATACTTCAATAAAAAATATATTTAAAAAAAGAAATATGCATTCCTGGTAATAAAAAAATCAGGGTGTCCAAAATAGAGGGCATTTCCAGTAACTATCAAGAGTAAAGACTATGAAAGAAGGTAAGTAGCTCCTGCTTGTTCAGAGCTTATTACAAGCCAGGTCCTGCACTTCACACTTACATGGGTGATCATATTCAGTCTTTGCCATGGCCTTGGAAGGTACATTCCATATTTCCCAGATAATAGAATAGAGGCTTGAGGAGCTAAATAATGTCTTCACAATTACATGGCTTATAGTGACAAAGCCTAAACTCAACTGCAGGTCTGAGATCAAAGCCCAGGCTGAGGTGGACAGGGTGTTTTTTAAAAAAAAAGCCCAGCCTTACTCATCAGTCAATGCTACCTCTTTGCGTTATCATGGACCAGGACTGTTGGGTCTATGCCTTTGCACTGTACTCCTGAAAACAGTCAATATTCAGGGCCGAACTCTTTCAACAGTTGTAGGAATAGATATTTAACATTCACAAAGAGCAAAGAGATTCCCTGCACTACCATGTAATCCCCAGTCTTTGCAGACCTCATAGGGGATGCTACTGACCATATAAAAAGAAAAAAAGAGAGAAACTATATCTTTATCAATGGCTGACAAACACATAGTTTTAATCCAGCCCTTTCTACTGTTCTCATACTTTTCTGAAACCTTCCAAAGTATAGTGAGGTCATTCAAATACACCATATAACTCCTGAATAATTCCTATCACTTACCATCTTTTCCTTGATAGGAATTCATGCTAGTAGATGGCAATCAGTCAAAGAAAAACATTGTGCAGTTACTCATCTGGTGGTAGTCAGCGCATTCAGATGTTGAGCATCTAAGAAGAGTCCACAGTATTCCACAGCCCTGGGACGAAATTTGAATGCTGGTATCTGATATGCAAGTCTTCTCATGGAAATTTCACAGAGAAAACACCATTTCTCTAAGGCAGCACTGTCCATTAGAACTTTCTGTGATGAGGAAATGTTACATACCTGCACCGTCTAGTATAGTAGCCACATGTGGCTATTGAACACTTGAAATGTGGCTAATACTGCTATATGGGAAAGTGCAGTTAAGGTTGTACAGATACAATCTCTTTCTTTTTGAGTCTCAGAAAATCTGATGAAAGACAAAGACCTTGTGTACTAGGATTGGAGTTTCTTCCCTGCTGTACTTGGCTGCATGTCTTTCCTATCCACTGCGACACTGAAAGAACAGTCAGGAGTTCTTTAAGCTTCATTTCATGTGGGGGTTCCAGCATTTCTCACTTTCCTGAGTATGCATCAGTCTTCGATATGGATATCAAGGCCTGAAACACGAATGACTGGTCACCAGTCCTGTGCTGCTTGCCCCAAATGGGGCTGACTGGCTAAGTGGTGGGTTTCAGGAAATGGATTCTGGAGGACTTTTGGCTTTGGCTTAGCGCCTGTGGGCAGTAGAGGTTGGACCTCAGCGTCCTCCGGAGCCAGCACCTTCTGAGGAAGTGTGTCAGGAAGGGAATCTTGGTTGCTTTAAATCCTATTATCAAATGGCAGTTGTCTTCAGTATAATTTGCATCCTTGAGCTGGGCCCTGTGGTTGAACATGTGCCTAGGGATCCCCTGGCAATAAGTTGGCCCTTATCTCAGTGTTAGAAGTATTAGTTTCAACAGTGGGAGAACAAGTTGGACTAGGGTAGTCATGGTAAGGGAAAAGGTGAACACAGTTTTAAGTTTCTCATTGGTTATTACTTTCTTGAAACCCCTTAGTAGGGCAGAAAGAGTGAGAAAATGGGGAATACCAGAGCCAGGAGTTCCTCATAAAAGCCCAATCTTGTATGTCTTTGGTGGTTCAGGAACATGACATTGTTGGACAATAATCTCTTATCTGGAATCAGGCCAGGATGTGATCTGAGAATTATCTCCAGACTGTCAAAAATCTCCAGAGCCTGCTGCAGGTGATCCATGATGGCCCAGTCCAGGAGTCTCTGGGGGTGAAATCTGGGGAGAATAAAAGGTATCTTCTGGTGGGCTGTAATCCCCTGTTCACAT